AATAAATCTCTAATTCACTCAATCTAAAATCCCAACCCAAATTTTTTTTTTTCTTAGTTCCCAATGTATTGTCTATATTTACAATTAAATTTAGGACAAAATTAAAAAAAAAAGTTTTATAAAAAAAAGGGAAAACCGGTTCAAAACTGGTTAACCGCTTTTTTTAAACGGTTAACCAGTTCGGTTTCAGTTTAGAAAAGCGGTTAACCGGTTCGGTTAACCGCTTTTGAACACCCCTACTGAATACACTAACTTATTGGTGTAGTATAATCGCTAATTGTGTTGAAATATTCAGGTTACAATTCAACTTTGCGTGGGGGACGTGTAACACATCATGAATATATCCAAGTAGGCAAGGGGCGTGACGTGGGAATGAATCAGATATCATCATTTGAGGCAAAGGTCGCAAATGGAAATGGAGAGCAGACACTGAGTCGTGATGTTTATCGGCTTGGACGCCGGTTTGACTTCTATAGAATGCTTTCATTCTATTTTACAACAGTTGGATTTTATTTTAGTAGCATGGTATGTTTAACTACTCTAGTTTTGCTATTTTTTATGTCTTTTAGCTATGCTAGAAGTGTTATGATTCATAGACCTACTCTGCTTGTTGAGTTTCTGAGGCTATTTTCTTTGAACAACAAAGATCATAAAACATATGATCCAAAGTAATTAAATATACTTAAGTCATTTTCAGAAAGGGTATACAGATAGATATCAACTGGCTCCAGGCCTGTCTTTGTTCATTGAGCTATGTTTTCCTAAGCAATATTGCTAAACTCTGAAAAGTTGGAATCTATGTTTAGAGCTCATTTTAATTTGGATATGATTTCTTCTCAGGTTACCGTGCTAACCGTGTATGTATTCTTATATGGACGTATATACATGGTTATGAGTGGATTGGAAAGAAATATTCTTGAGAGTCCAAGCATAAATCACACCAAGGCCCTTGAAGAAGCTCTGGCTGCCCCAACTGTCTTTCAACTTGGTTTGTTACTGGTGCTTCCAATGGTTATGGAGATTGGCCTGGAAAAAGGGTTTCGCACTGCTCTGGGTGATTTTATCATCATGCAGTTGCAGCTAGCTTCTGTATTCTTTACATTCCAGCTTGGAACAAAAGCACATTATTTTGGCAGAACAATCTTGCATGGAGGTGCTAAATATCGAGCTACTGGGCGTGGCTTTGTTGTTTTTCATGCAAAGTTCGCTGAAAACTATAGATTGTATTCTCGGAGTCACTTTGTGAAGGGACTGGAGTTGGTTATATTGTTGGTCTTGTATGAAGTTTATGGGAATTCATATCGCAGTTCGAATCTTTACTTGTTTATCACTTTCTCTATCTGGTTCCTGGTTGGCTCCTGGTTGTTTGCTCCCTCTGTGTTCAATCCATCTGGTTTTGATTGGCAAAAAACAGTAGATGATTGGACAGACTGGAAGAGGTGGATGGGAAATCGCGGTGGTATTGGGATCCAAACTGATAAAAGTTGGGAATCGTGGTGGGATGGAGAACAAGAACACCTCAAACACACAAACATTAGGGGACGAATTTTTGAGATCATCCTTGTATTTCGCTTCTTCATCTACCAATATGGAATTGTCTACCACCTTGATATAGCTCATCACAGCAAGAGTTTGCTGGTACAGTTTCTTTATTTCAGTGATATGGTTCCTTATAGGTCTATTAGGTTTATTACACCACTTTGCTATATATCTTTACTTTGATTCTTTGTAGGTCTATGGACTCTCTTGGATAGTTCTGCTGTCTGCGCTTTTAGTTTTAAAGGTATGCAATGAATCACACAGTGCTGAAGGAATCCTAGTTCATAGTATGTTGAAGAAATTGTTTAAACTAACTATCAAATTTATTAAAAGTGTTCTAGAAAGCAGTTTGTTCGTACTTATAATGTATTTAACCCTTTGTTGGATAAGCATACATGCTCATTTGCAGTTTTCTGGCTTTTTCTTACTATTAGATGGTATCAATGGGTAGACGGAAATTTAGTACCGACTTCCAGCTGATGTTCAGGATCCTCAAGGCGCTTCTATTCCTTGGTTTCGTGTCAGTCATGACTGTCTTATTTGTAGTATGTGGGCTCACCATATCAGATTTATTTGCTTGCTTGCTTGCTTTCTTGCCCTCAGGGTGGGCCCTTCTTCTGGTAAGTTTGAACTTCAAATGATTTTGCCAGTATATGCCAAATAATTATGATTATCTTGTAACTGAGATATTGTTCCAATTTAGCGTGCCTTACTCCAAATGTTCTAAATCAAGCAACATGTTGCAGTCCTATGTGCGTGTGATTAAAAAAAAAAAAGTTGATAAGTGATGCAACAGATCCTAAACTTTCTTCTCCTGAATTACTTCTGTATTCCTGCTGAAATATTCTGTTTCCTCCTGGTTTTCTGATTGATTCTGAAATTTGAATTTTTCTATGTTGGAAACTAGATTAAAAATTTTAAAGCAATTGTTTTATATCTTTGTTGTTTCTATTTCTTAAGCTCACAAGCTGTGGAGAAGTTACTAAACCATATTTTCCTTTGTTTGGCCTTTGAAGATTGGGCAAGTGTGCAGGCCTTTGTTTAAGCGGTTAGCATTATGGGAATCAGTAAAAGAGCTAGCTCGAGCATACGAGTACATAATGGGACTGGTAATCTTCACCCCTATCGCCATTTTGTCGTGGTTCCCGTTTGTATCAGAGTTTCAAACTCGCCTGCTCTTCAATCAAGCATTTAGTAGAGGTCTCCAGATTTCTATGATTCTTGCTGGGAGGAAAGACAAGCCAGCAGAGGAAAGACCAGATAAAGAAAGACCAGACAGAATCTAAATAAAGTTCATAGTATTTCTCGTTCATTTTTTTTCTCAATCTTCATTTGTATGTTGGGTAGCCATGTTGTAATTAAATCTTTAGGAAAGATACATCAAGTATGGTGATTTTGGCAAGGAAATTTATTACTTATTTATAAAGTTAAACAAATTATTATTATGTCTCTTGAAGTCCTTGAAAATACATTATTATGTGTATGAAATTTCGAAAGGCAGGCCGCGTATAAATCATTAGAGGAGTGTGAGGGAATAAGTTCTAGGGGTGTCCATAACGGGTTAACCAAACTGGTTAACTGCTTTTTGAACCGAACCTGTTTTTTCAATCGATTAAAAGGAAAATCGGTTTAGAACCGGTTTTCCCTTTAACTTATTTATGATTTTGTTTAATTTTGTTTTCGATTTTCATATGAATATGCTACCTACCTTATTTGATGAATCTCACACTAAATTGTAAATCTTCGCTTGTGTATAAAAAAAAAAAAAAAAAAAAAAAGAGAAATGAGGAAAGGGTGAAAAGTAAAGAGAAATAGACTTGAAAAATTAGGGTTTTTTAATTTTAAAGTGAAAACCGGTTTTATAAATTCTTTAAACTGGTAATCAATATATGAAATTGAATCAGTTTTTTGGATAACCGAAAACCGGTTCAATCTGGTTTCTGCATTTTTTTAACACTTTTTTGAATAACCTCTCAAAAATGACACCCATTGTCTTTTCTCTTTTAAATTCTAGTACTAGATTAAACGACATATTCCCACCCAAGGTTTGACGAAATCCTAAGTTGGTACCTCAAGTTTCATTTATTCTAGATTTCCATCCTTAAAATAACACTGTTAACAATTTTTAGGGTAATGAGGGTGCAATTACCATAATGCCCTTAACCCTAAATTAATAAATTAGTTTTAACCCCTAAATTACTAAAATTATAAAAGTAACCATTTTATTTTGAAATTACTTCAATTACACCCTCAGTGATTGCGCACCGTCTCTGTTTTCATAAGATTTAGGCTGTTTCTGATGGCAACGAACCCCCTGGTCACCTCCATCACCTTCCCCATCATCCGTCGTCTAAAACCCCTCTGGTTCTCGACTCATTGGACCCTCCAATCGCTAGCGTCGTCAAGCTTAGGTTTTCGTCGTTCTTCGCTAAATTTCGGTCGATTCCGACGACGAAAATGCAATTGGACATCACCACTGCAACCAACATCTCCAAATCTACAAAACCCCTATGTCCCTAGCAATCGTTTAGTGGTCATTCGCTGGTGGAGACCGACGAAAACTAGTTGCATATAGCGGCTGTCGTGGTTGGCGATCAGCGAGTGATGAGGGGTTGTGAAGGGTACGGTTTTGTTGAGGGGAGGATGAGGGTTCGAATGGTGGTGATTAGGGTGATTTTGGGTGGAAGAATCGTAGGAAAAGGGCGAAAAACGTCGACAGTGATGTTGACTAACGTGCACTGGAGCTTTGTTAGGGGCGACAATCTGCTAATGTGCGCCTCCTCTGCGAAATGACCAATTTACCCTTGAGCCGTTATATTTAACCATTTTCCGTTACCTTAAGGGTGGGAATCTGGAATAAATAAAACTTGAGGTACCAACTTAGGATTTTGCCAAACCTTGGGTGCGAATATGTCGTTTACTCCTAGTACTAAAATACTAATAACAAAAGGAAAAAAATATATATATATATAGATATATATATGACTCTGAGAAGTTAGGGTTAGGTTGTGAATTAAATTTTTTGAAAAATATATATCTATCTTGTGTTTATCTTTTAAATATCTATGTGGTTATTTCAATTCAATTGAACTACGTTAGGTGAATCTCTGTCTTTTTCAGTCAAATGTGTAAGATTTCGGAATACATGACTTGGTTCAGAGATTTCACTACAATTTGAGTTGGAAACCTCGGAAAGTCACAGCCAAATCATGTAAGATTGCAAAAAATTTTGGCTTAATTACCTCATATTTCAGTCAATACCAACATAAATCAAGTTTCAAATTCCTTTTTTTATTCAACAATCAAATTAATCACATAACAAACACTAAAGCATAATTAAGCAAATATAATGAAGATAAGTGATACTTTACCGGGGAGATGCTGTATAATTTCATAACTATAGGGGGTATTTATAATAAAACAAAATCAGGGGACGTCCAAAATAGAGTCTAAACCCTTTTAAAAGTTTTCGGGTTTGGATCTGGGTCAGCACTGTGAGCGAAACAACTTTAAAGACAGAGAGATCTAAAATCGTTTCGTTTCGTTTCGTTTCCAAATCTGTGTTATTATTTGTTTAATTAAAAAAAAAAAAAAAAAAGTATATGATGAATTCACTACAAAATACTTCAAAGTTAGGCTCAAACTCAACTCAATCTCTCTCGTTCGATGACGTTGCTAACTATTTCTCTCTGCCTCTCTCCGACGCCGCTACTCATCTCGGTAACTTTTTTTCTTTTTCGTACAAATGTTTCTTTTTATTTTAAATTTATATCAAGATTATGTTAATCTTTGAGCCTGCCTTGTGGTAGGTGTTTGCGTGAGTGTTCTCAAGAAAATTTGCCGCGAGAACGGCCTTGATCGGTGGCCCTATCGCAAGGTATACCTCCTGGCTTCTACTTCTTCAGTGTAATTAGTAATTTCAATGGATTATGTGATATTTATTTTCACGAGATTGTTTGTGAATCGTGGTGTAGTTTTTATGTGGCAAGAGCATTGAAGAAATCAAAAAGTATGCTGCTAGAGAAAAATACAAACAAATTGCCGAGCTTTCAAAGCTTGCTAGGCAAAGGTATGGTTTAACAATTTGTTTGGATGACAGTTACTAATCATTTGTAAAATCTTGGAGATATTATGGATGAAAAAGGAAATTAATTTTGTNAAAAAAAAAAAAAAAAAAAAAAGAAAAAAAAAGAAAAAGAAAAATATATATATATATGTGTGTGTGTGTGTGTGTGACTCTAAGAAGTTAGGATTAGGTTGTGAATTAAATTTTTTTAAAAATTATATTTCTATCTTGTGTTTATCTTTTAATATCTATGAGGTTATTTCAATTCAATTGAACTACGTTAGGTGAATCTCTGTTTTTTTCAGTCAAATGTGTAAGATTTCGGAATACATGACTTGGTTTAGAGATTTCACTACAATTTGAGTTGGAAACCTCGGAAAGTCACAGCCAAATCATGTAAGATTGCAAAAAAATTTGGCTTAATTACCTCATATTTCAGTCAATACCAACATAAATCAAGTTTCAAATTCCTTTATTTATTCAACAATCAAATTAATCACATAACAAACACTAAACCATAATTAAGCAAATATAATGAAGATAAGTGATACTTTACCGGGTAGATGCTGTATAATTTCATAACTATAGGGGGTATTTATAATAAAACAAAATCAGGGGACGTCCAAAATAGAGTCTAAACCCTTTTAAAAGTTTTCGGGTTTGGATCTGGGTCAGCACTGTGAGCGAAACAACTTTAAAGACAGAGAGATCTAAAATCGTTTCGTTTCGTTTCGTTTCCAAATCTGTGTTATTATTTGTTTAATTAAAAAAAAAAAAAAAAAAGTATATGATGAATTCACTACAAAATACTTCAAAGTTAGGCTCAAACTCAACTCAATCTCTCTCGTTCGATGACGTTGCTAACTATTTCTCTCTGCCTCTCTCCGACGCCGCTACTCATCTCGGTAACTTTTTTTCTTTTTCGTACAAATGTTTCTTTTTATTTTAAATTTATATCAAGATTATGTTAATCTTTGAGCCTGCCTTGTGGTAGGTGTTTGCGTGAGTGTTCTCAAGAAAATTTGCCGCGAGAACGGCCTTGATCGGTGGCCCTATCGCAAGGTATACCTCCTGGCTTCTACTTCTTCAGTGTAATTAGTAATTTCAATGGATTATGTGATATTTATTTTCACGAGATTGTTTGTGAATCGTGGTGTAGTTTTTATGTGGCAAGAGCATTGAAGAAATCAAAAAGTATGCTGCTAGAGAAAAATACAAACAAATTGCTGAGCTTTCAAAGCTTGCTAGGCAAAGGTATGGTTTAACAATTTGTTTGGATGACAGTTACTAATCATTTGTAAAATCTTGGAGATATTATGGATGAAAAAGGAAATTAATTTTGTTTCAAAGTTTTTTTTTTTTTTTTGTTTTTTTTTCTTACTTTCACGTATGCTGACAGAACAGCTAGTGAGAGAAATATGTAGCTGATATCAGGTTGTAAGAGATGAAATGAACAACATTATGTGTTTTTAAACTGATGTATGGTTGACTTTCCAATCAAAACAAGCAAGTTGGAATGACGATTTTGGAGAATTATTAGGGCTGTGACCTTTACTTATTAGCATATTATCCAGTTTAAGTTTCATTGTAAGAGTCATTGTCTCCTCATATCTTTGAATGTCTATGAAGTGCTTTCGCATAAGCATATATTTTAGAACAAGCACACTTATAGGGCAAGATACAGTGCTCATAGTGTGACAAAGACGCTGTAATGAAGGGGAAATTCTTTTTTCTCATTATATCTGCTGCTCAAAACATATTTTTCTTTTCTTTTTTTACTTTTTTAAGTTAACAAGTATCTGCTTTTGTTTTACTGATCTTTGTGGCTTTCTTGTATACTTTTTGTTTACTCTTGCCCTTGCTTTAGTTATCAATGCAGTCTTGTTAATTCTTGTTCAAAAAGTTGATACATTGTGTAGTGTCTTCTTATCATCTCATGCACTTTATGCCAACATTCGTGTCTTTACATATTTGTGACAATGTGAAAGTTGCAGCCTGAAAAATTTGCTCACTCTCTTTGTGAATGCAGCGCTATGCAACCCCAAAACAATAATATGTCCAAATTGCATGGTGTCTCATCACCTACAAATTTGCCGCAGCAACAAGGAAGCAAGAACACTGTAGTTGGGCAGCCGCAGGTTCTGCTTAATGCAAGCTTGACAAAAGGAACTATGGCTCCAGATGAATTTAAATATGGATTTCCATCAGATGGCTTATCTACTGCTACATATAAGTGGTGGGGTAGCAGCAGTTCGGATGTTAATGGGAGCACTAATGTAGAGGAAGCGGAAACTGATGAAGTTGACAAGAATCAATCTGAAGAGAAAGCAGATGGCAGTGCCACTTCAATAGTGGGTAATAAGATATCTGAAAATGTGAAAAAGGTGACAGACATTGATCCTCAAGGGTCAGGTCTGCTGACAGCTATTAGAAAGAGAAGTGTTGAGGAAGGAAAAGAAGCACTTAAACTTGGTCTCCAAAAGAAGTACTGTGTAAAGAAGCTAGGCAGGAAAGAGAGATTGCTGCTTCTTCGAGTATTTGGATCTGCATTGCCTAAAGAGTGGGTATTTGAGTCATCCTAAATTTTACTCTGCATGCAAAAGATCCTTAACTATTGAAGGTGAGGCCGTGTGGATAATACTAGATTGCTGTATTCAGAGCTCATACTGCTGCCTAAATGTGCAATATCCGCGATGTTATCATATCTAAAAATCAATTGCATATTGGCTGGAATGTTTAACGCATATCTTTATGGTAGTTAGCATGTATTCATGGGGATGCTGAATTTGGCAGAGAGATTCTACATCCACCAGTAGTTACATTTTCATTTTGTAAGTGGTATAATGTTTTTGGCTACTTCCTAACCATAGGGTAGAGAAAGTCAGCTTAGATGTTCTGCAGAAAATGAAAAAACAGTCAAAAGTGGATTAGATTTGACAAGAAATCCGATTGTCCATGCATGGACTCAACCCACTTTGTTCGTGCTCTGGTGGATCTCGCACATAAGGGACACCAGTTCTCATCACTTTATATCTAGTGGAGTAACAACAATGAAAAAACACCCTATTTTGTGCATGTTTCTCTTCGTCACTCGATTCTTGGATATTGAAATTTCAAATTGATAAGAAATACAATACTATGAGCATTTTCTTTCATACCCCCATAAAATGGTGATTCAAAGGTAAATTATGAGTATGAGTTATAAATCAAATTTAACAAGTATGAAATATAGAAATATTCGCTAAGAATGTTTATTCTTAAGATATGATCTTAAAGAAAAAGTAAACAGAGTAATACAACTAAAATCATTGTATAAATTATTCAAATGAGGTGCCAAGTATCTTCTGATTTTCACTGGATTATTGTTTTGCTTGTATTTATTTCCAAAACTAAGTTACACCTAGTCTAAAAGTTAATGGGAGAGTTAACAAGGCAATCTCCAGTTAACATGAAAGGCTCTAGCTGTTTCAAATCCCAATCTTTCAATCCTTACAGAAGAGTGATAATATCATCAAATCACAGCACGTGGACTCTTCTTACTGGCTGCGAAAAAAAGCAATCCAGAATCCAAAAGCTGAAGGAAGATGAACAAAAACTAGCAAGCCAATTGGAGTAGATATTCGTATTAAAATAATGAACTTAATGTTCTCCAATCAGAAAACATATATAGATATCAAAAGATAAGGACCCTTAACTTTCTCTAATACTAAAAAAGTATAAATACCCGACCAAACTAATTGCCACTCTCATCAAAACACCTCATATACTCCCAACTTTTCACATGGCTGCTTCAACAATGGCTCTCTCATCTCCTTCTCTAGCCGGCCAAGCCCTGAAGCTCTCTCCGGTGACCTCGGAGAAGGTCGTGTAACCATGAGAAAAATTGTGGCCAAACCTAAGTCAGTCTCAACAGGCAGCCCATGGTATGGACCAGACCTTGTCAAATACTGGGGCCCATTCTCAGGTGAGGCCCCATCTTACCTGACCAGTGGGTTCCCAGGAGATTATGGATGGGACACGGCCGGTCTCTCGGCTGACCCAGAAACCTTTTTCCAAGAACAGGGAGCTTGAAGTCATCCATGCCAGATGAGCCATGCTTGGACCCCTTGGTTGTGTTTTCCCTGAGCTTTTGGCTCGCAATGGAGTAAAGTTTGGTGAAGCAGTTTGGTTCAAGGCAGGTGCTCAGATTTTCAGTGAGGGAGGGTTAGATTATTTACGTAACCCAAGTTTAATCCATGCACAAAGTATTCTCGCCATCTGGGCAACACAGGTTGTTCTGATGGGTGCTGTGGAGGGTTACAGAGTTGCTGGAGGGCCACTTGGTGAGGTGACAGACCCAGTTTATCCTGGTGGGAGTTTTGGTCCTCTTGGGCTAGCTGATGATCCTGAGGCTTTCGCTGAACTTAAGGTGAAGGAAATCAAGAATGGAAGATTGGCCATGTTCTCTATGTTTGGATTCTTAATTCAAGCTATTGTAACTGGTAAGGGACCATTGGAGAACTTGGCTGACCATCTTGCCGATCCTGTTAACAACAATGCTTGGGCATATGCCACAAACTTTGTCCCTGGCAACTGATTTCAGCAAATTAAAATCTGGGGTCTAACAAGATTGCCGTTATTGATGTAGAGTGGAAGTGGATTTTTTGGGGAAACAATCAATTCAGGAAATTTATTTTTCTAAGCACATAGCCAAAAAAAAAAAAAAAAGAAATTGAAAGTAGTTTTCACAATTCAAGAAAAACAGTTGGTTAATAATAAGTTCCCTTAACCCAAATTAATTATTTCCTCCCTGAAACACAGCCACAAAACTCTTAAAGTTTGTGAAATTTTTAAGCTAGTATACGCCATACAAACAAAATTAAAACCAGCTCAAACTGATAACGATTAGGCCTCCAATACAGTAACCGACGTCCATTGAATTGGCATGTAACCATATTCTTCCCACAATCAAATGTATCTTACATTATTAAAAGAATATTATCTCATTCTCATGAACACACTATCTATTCTATCCTAGATGGAGTTTAGACCTTGTTATAATTTAATCATAATTTTCAGATTAAGAGGAAACAAATGATCTACTCCATTCCCAACCCCGTAAGCCTTGCAAAAATCGAGCCTGGGTCTAAGAAGATGGCTAGGCTCGACTCAGACCCAAATATTATGATTGGACCTAGGATCCATATCAATATCTAATTAATATATATATATATATATAGTGAGGGATCCATAAATTTTTTTTGGGTGGGCCAAAATAAAAACTAATTACATATTAATATTTTTGTCCTTTAATATTTTTATTAGGGTGGGCCAAAATCCAAAAATTATATATATTAATATTTAAAAAAAAAATTGAGGGTGGGCAGGATCCGCCCCTGTATATATATATAGAATGTCAACATTTAACTGTCATCAAAATTAAATAATTAATTCTCTTTGATGACCCAATTAAACGGCCACAAAACCTGCTAGAAAACAAGAAGCTAACGTGGGATGGGATCAAACGTTTACAATAAACCAAAGCTGTTTACGTTTAGATTGGGAAATTCTTCACCCTCTCATAAGGCCAATAGCTGATACCAATTGAATATTTGGGTACGTATAAAAAACATACTGATATGATATGAACCTTTCCCAACTCAGCCAACAATAACAGGAACATCAAGCAATAAAACAATATAAATCCAGAAAAGCAAGATAACTAACACTTATATTGATATTCCAGAACAAAATACACAGCAAATAGAAACTAGCAAAGCTACCCAACACAAGAAAAACAAACAAAAAACTCAAACAAGAGAATCTAAATAATGTTGGACTTCGAGGGCCAGCTCCTCCCTAGATGCTAGACTTCTAGGGCTAGCTCTTTCCAATTTTCCCTTCTATTTTCTTCCTCCTAACATCTGCTCTCTTCTCCCTTTTTATTCTCTAGCACTCTCTCTCTCCATAACAGAATCCCTCACTTACCCATTCCTCTATTGCCATTTGCCTGCCAGCTTCTTTTCAGTCCATTATCTTACTGCTTTGTTCTCCTACCATATACCAGTACTATTGAGGTCTCATCATCACCCTCTCCTTGAAGAACCACCTTGTCCTCAAGGTGGGAATTTTTTTTCCCGACACCACACTGCTTCTCCACTCTTTCACCGCTTTCTTCTTCTTTACCCGACTCTTCCTCATCTACTGTCATTCACCGAAAATGGGTTGTTCGCAGTTGAGGGAGGTTGGAATCGATCGTTTGAAGCGTTGTCGAGCTTGTACTCCGGTGATCGGTGGCTGTCATTGCGTCAGATGGTGCTTCTTCCCAAGATTGACACGTCGGTGAAGAGTTAATGGAGTATCGCTGTTGTTCGGCAATCAAAGTTGCCTTGGAATTGTCGAAGTTGCGATTTGAAGAAGTCTGAGCCCTAATCCCAATTTCATTTAACCCGTTCAATTGACTCGATCCAGTTCCCAATGACCCATGTCCACGTCTAGGCCCAATTTCTAATTGCCCATATCCATCAAACCTACTTCCAATTGCTTTACCATTTTTACCCGGCCCAAACTTTAACTCCTCCAAAGCCCAATTTCTCTCCTCAATCTGTTGGGCCATTTAAACGAGTTGGATTAGTGAACTTGGTTGGACCAATTTAACTTCAAACCAAATTTCCATCTTCAACCCATTAAAAAATGCAGCGTATAAGATCTCCTCATTCTCTTCAACTAACAGCATAGCCACAGCTTCAAATTTTCGACGATAATCTTCCATCGTCTCAGTTTGTCTAATTGCCATTAAAGCTTTATGGGGTCCCCCTTCTTGCGAACCACTGAACCGATGAAGAAGTGCAGTCTTAAAGGCAGCGTACGACGCCACCGGAGCACTTACTTCCACCCACTGAAACCAGTTCACCACTAGGGGTGAGCGGTTTCGAGTACCTTGCATTTTTTGGGAGAATTGGAATCGGAAATGCATAGTGTAGGTTCCCAAAAAAAAAAAAGAAACCGAAATTGGAACCTATCGGTTCCAGTTCTTAAATTCAAGGAATTGGAACCTGAAATGCAAGTTCCGGTTCCTTACCCGGGTACCTTGTAAAAAAATAATTACCCCCCTATTAGTTTAAAAAATGACAAAAATACATTAAAAGTTTACAAAACATCATTAACAAATTAAGAAAACCTACATTAGTAGTTTTCAACTTTTGATTACTCATTCATTTGTGTCCAATGTGACTCATAAATCCTCTAATCTCTAGGCAATACTTGAATTCAATTAATTCATCACAATTCACATAAAATTTTTCAATCAAAACCAAAACACAAATAATTAGTGAAATAAGAAAAAGAAGAATGAGAGAACAACTAAAGCAAACAAAGAAGCAGCAGATTTAACACTATCTCAAAATGATCAACTCCAAACTGGGTACCCGCTTCAGGTTCTTTTCCCAGGTTTCGGTTTTGATTCCTCCACATGCAAGAATTGGAACTGAAACCTACTCGCACAGTGTCAGTTCCTGTTCTACCTACTACCCATGCTCACCCTATTCACTGTAGACAATCACTTAGCCTCCGCAACTCGATACACATTGAAGTATCTCTCAACCA